GGGATATTTTTGTGCTTAAAAAGCTGACTGGATTCTTCCTTCCACCATCCTAAGAGACACACACAGCACAACATCATTTATTGAAAATGTGGGAAAAAATGAGACCTTCTTTCCTATTGCTTAATGTAAAATGTCCTATCATTTATACTCAGAGCAGCCATGTTTCCACACTAATGCCCTTCTCTCAGGAAGACGAGGCACTCTGAACAGGCTCAGGGGCACTCTTTCCACATGCTTAGCAACCAAAATCAGCTTCTTCTTCAATATCAAATGAATACACAGTTTAGCCCCTGCTGACATTTTTATTAATTACTAGCCGTCCCCTGCCATGCGTTGCTGTGGCCCAGTCTGGTGATCTGGAAAATAAAGTAATGTGAAAGTGTGGGTTTCTAATATATGTAATTTCATGTTGTTTCTTTGTCAGTGTTGATGTGTAGATTGTCTGGTTTGCCTACTCTGGAATGTGCAACATATCATTGTCCTTCTTTAGGGGTCCCTTTCAAATCTATGATACTATATCTCTCTGTGTGTGTGAATCATATATATCTATCTATATCTATGGCTCGATGGCTCTTTGTCAGGAGGGCTTTGATTACATTTTCTTGCCCTGGTGAAGAGAGTTGGACTGGATGGCCTTAAGGATTTTCTGTTGGCCATGGGGTTTCTGTGTGGGAAGTTTGCCCAGTTCTGTGTTGGTGGGGTTCAGAATGCTCTTTGATTGTAGGTGAACTATAAATCCCAGTAACTCCCAAATGTCAAGGTCTATTTCCCCCAAACTCCATCTGTGTTCATATTTGGGCATATGGACATATTTGTGCCAAGTTTGGTCCAGATCCATCATTGTTTGAGTCCACAGTGCTCTATGGATGTAGGTGAACTACAACTCTCAAACTCAGGGTCAATGCCCACCAAACCCTTCTAGTGTTTTCTGTTGGTCATGGGAGTCCTGTGTGCCATATTTGGTTCAATTCCATCATTGGTGGAGTTCAGAATGGTCTTTGATTGTAGGTGAACTATAAATCCCAGCAACTACAACTCCCAAAGTCAAGATCTACTTTCCCCAAAATCCACCAGTGTTCACAAATGACAAAATCAATTTTTTTTAGTGAAGGACATACATTGGGCTGTTAGTTGTCTTGTGTCCAAATTTGGTGTCAATTCGTCCAGTGGTTTTTGAGTTCTGTTAATCCCACAAATGAACATGACATTTTTATTGATATAGACTAGCTGTACCCAGCCACATGTTGCTGTGGCCAATGAGAAAGAAAGAATAGAGAAGGAGGAAGTTTCAGATATATGTGATTTCACTATGGTTGCGGGTAAGTAATATTAGTCATGGTTCCAATGTCTGTGTGGATATGGAGATTGTCTGGTTTGGCGACTATGGAACACGAAATGTTAGGATTTGAAAAAGGACGCCATGATATGGTGGGTTAACTGGAGAGAGATGTGTCAGCAGCCGATTGGCTGAGTGTGCCAGGGGCCAGGGTTCTCTGATTGGCTGCTGCCTCTAGCTGGCTGCTGAGGCCAACAGTTCCAACTGCCATTCTGCCTTTTGTTCTTCGCTTGGACAGGGAAGAGATTGCTGGCTGCCATTTATCTTAAGGACTGATTATTTCAAGGCTTGAGGCATATTCTATTTGAAGAGGCTATTTTGTTCCTCTGTTCCCTGCCTGTACTTATAGAGACTGGTGTATACATTGTTACACTGTTTGAACCTCTGAACCAAAGAAAAGATACTGTTACTTGTTCTACAAGCCTGAGTAACATTTGTTACACTACAGGATATTTTGTTGTTCATTTGTTCAGTTGCTTCCCACTCTTCGTGATCTTATGGACCAGCCCACGCCAGAGCTCCCTGTCAGCCGTCACCTCCCCCAGCGCCTTCAAGGTCAATCCAGTCACTTCAAGGATGCAATCCGTCCATCTTGCCCTTGCTTGGCCCCGCTCATGGACCAGCCTACGCCAGAGCTCCTTGTCGGCCGTCACCTCCCCCAGCTCCTTCAAGGTCAATCCAGTCACTTCAAGGATGCAATCCGTCCATCTTGCCCTTGCTTGGCCCACTCATGGACCAGCCTACGCCAGAGCTCCTTGTCGGCCATCACCACCCCCAGCTCCTTCAAGGTCAATCCTATCACTTCAAGGATGTCATCCATCCATCTTGTCTTTGGTTGGCCCCTCTTCCTTTTTCCTTCAGTTTCCCCAGCATAATTGTCTACTCTAGGCTTTCCTGTCTCCTCATGATGTGGCCAAAGGACTTCATCTTTGCCTCTACTATCCTTCCCTCCAATGAGCAGTCGGGCTTTATTTCCTGGAGGATGGACTGGTTGGATCTTCTCGCAGTCCAAGGCACTCTCAGAACTTTCCTCCAACACCACAGTTCAAAGGCATCTCTCTTCCTTCGCTCAGCCTTCCCTAAGGTCCAGCTCTCACATCCGTAGGTGACTACAGGGAATACCATGGCTTTGACTAGGCGGATCTTTGTTGCCAGTCTGATGTCTCTACTCTTCACTATTTTATCGAGATTGGACATTGCTCTCCTCCCAAGAAGGAAGCGTCTTCTGATTTCCTGGCTGCAGTCTGCGTCTGCACTCATCTTTGCGCCTAGAAATATTTATTTATTTATGACATTTATATGCCACCCTTCTCACGCTGAAGGGGACTCAGAGCAGCTTACAAGATATATATAGATACACTATATTATATTATTAACATAGTACAATATCAGTATTAAATATTACTATATTGTACTATACAATTATATTGTAATATTATTAGTAATATTACATGTAATATAAATATATAATAATAATATCATATTATTGTTAGTAGTAGTATTATATTGCATTACATTATAATATTATAAATATTATATGTATATACAATGCAAAATACAAAGTATGTCACTGCCTCCACGTTTTCTCCCTCTATTTGCCAGTTTTCAACCAGTCCTGTTGCCATAATCTTGGTTTTTTTATGTTTAACTGCAACCCAGCTTTTGTGCTTTCTTCTTTCACCTTGATTAGAAGGCTTCTCAGCTCCTCCTCGCTTTCAGCCATCAAAGTGGTATCATCTGCATATCTAAGGTTGTTAATGTTTCTTCCAGAAATTTTAACTCCAGCCTTGCATTCATCAAGCCCCGCACATTGCATGATGTGTTCTGCATACAAGTTAAAAAGGTTGGGTGAGAGTATACAACCCTGCTGTATGCTTTTCCTAATCTTGAACCAGTCTGTTGTTCCATGGTCAGTTCTACTGTTGCTACTTGGTCCTTATACAGATTCCTCAGGAGAGAGATAAGGTGATTTGGTATGCCCAGACCACCAAGAACTTGCCACAATTTATTATGATCCACACAGTTAAAGACTTTAGAATCATCAGTAAAACAGAAATAGATGTTTATCTCAAACTCCCTGCCTTCCTCCATTATCCAGTGGTATGAAATAAATCTATATAAACAAAAATGTAATGTTCATTTGCAGGGTTAATATAACTCATAAAATACTGGATGAATTGACACCAAATTCAGACACAATACATTAATAATAATAATAATAATAATAATAACAATAATAATATTTTATTTATACTTTGCCACCATCTCCCCAAAGAGACTTGGAGTGGCTTACATGATGCCAAACTCAACAACACATCAATAAAAACAACAAGCAATAAGCGAAATAAACAATACAATTAATATATCTCACACATAGACAATAACACACAAGGATTTAAAAACCTATATCTGGGCCAGATGTAATAGTTAAAACTTTAAAAATAAATGCTGGACATGAACAGAGGTAGGATGTATCTAGTAGGGAGGGTTTTAAACCAAAAGTAGAGAGCAACCCAACGGGTAATTAAAGTGCTTCTCAGGATATTTTGCAGGGGATTGTTTCCTTTATTCAGGGAAGGCACAGTGGAACAGCCACATTTTCAGGCTCCTCCTAAAGACTGCCAATGTGGGGGCTTGTCTGATATCCTTGGGGAGTGAGTTCCAGAGACGGGGGGCCACCACAGAGAAGACCCTCTCCCTTGTCCCCACTAATTGTGCCTGCGAAGGGGATGGGAGTGAGAGCAGGGCCTCTCCAGATGATCAAAGAGATCACGTGGGTTCGTACACAGAAATGTGGTCACGCAGGTAGGTGGGTCCCAAACCGTTCAGGGCTTTGTAGGTAAGAACCTGCACCTTGAATTGGGATCAGAAAATGAACGGCAGCCAATGGAGCTCCTTAAACAGGGGGGTTGACCGCTCCCTGTAAGTCGCCCCAGTTAGTAGCCTGGCTGCCGCCCGTTGGACCAATTGAAATTTCTGAGCCGTCTTCAAGGGCAGCCCCACATAGAGTGCATTACAGTAATCCAATCTGGAGGTGACTAAGGCGTGGAGCACCCTGGCCAGATCCGACTTCAAAAGGTATCAGGCCAACAAGTGACCATCACTCATAAAAACACTGGAATACACAGCGGAAGGGACTTTAAAAGCCAAAAAACAAAAAATACATTATAACACATGTGTAAAACTACGCAAGCACACATATCTACACACATATGCAGGAATATATACTCACACAAAGCACATATACACAGACTGGGCCACAGCAATGCGTGGCAGGGGATGGCTAGTTAATAAATGAGCACACCTCCAGTAGGAGTCGCTGTAATCCATGGTTTTGTTTCCTCAGTGCGAAGCCTGCCAAGATGGGACTGTCTATTGTACAGATTTCAGTGGGTTTAGCCCTGTATTTCTCTGAAATACGAACACAAACAACTTGATTGACAGGAGGGCCTTGAGGGTGTCACACTCTCTCAGCCTCAGGGGGAATGGGGAGAAGAAAGAGCCCCTCGGAGGGGATTCCCAGCAGGAGCGACTTTCGCTTTCCAACTTTTGCAGGCTGGCGCTTTGCCTCCTGCCCGGCAACCGGTGACGACACGGCAATCCCAGTCTTTCCCAGTGGCTGGGCGTTTCCCCCTCGCCCAATCCGCGCTCTTCCTGGGGATTTCCTAACTCGCCTGGCTTCTGACGATGGCGCTGCTCCTGTGGCCCCTTCTGGGGGCGGCCTGCCTCTCTCTCTCTCTCCTGGGGGGCCCCGCATTGGCCCTGCCCAAGGGAACCGCGGCGCCGGAGGTGACTCAAGGTGAGCGGAGAAGGGGGCTTCAAAAGAGTCTAAGAGAGTCTCCCCATTGCGTGTCCTTCTGTTCAACCTTTCTCTCTTTCCAGGCGCCTCCTCCCACTCCCTGCATTACTTCTACACGGCAGTGACGGAGTCCAGCCCCGGGCTGCCACATTTCGTGATTGTGGGCTACGTGGACGGCCAGCCCTTTGATTACTATGACTCTGAAACTAGGAAGGATGTGCCTCGAGTCCCATGGATGGAGAAGGTGGAAGAGGCAGATTCTCCGTACTGGGTCGAGCAAACTCAGGTATCGCAGAACGCAGAAGCCCTATTCAGAGCGGATTTGGCAATTCTACAGCATCGTTACAACCAGAGTGGAGGTGAGTGGACGGGTGGAGGAGTCCAGCAGATTCCCACCTTTGGTTTGTTTGTTTTTATTTTCAGGGAAGGAAGTGAAGGGAGGTGAATTCAGGGAGGAGTAGGAAGGGAAGCGTTTACAGTGGTTGAACCAGAAGAATTTTGGAACATAGTCTCCCCTCAATTTCTTTTAAGGCCTCCAGCCAAGAGGTAGCAATTGTGCACCTTTATTTATTTATTTATTTCAAATATTTGTACCCCGCCCTTCTCAACCCGGGGGGGGGGGGGGGGGGGCTTCCAGCTGGCAACAATTTGATGCCTCCAATGTACACATAATAAAATCAAATAATGACATATATAAAAGATAGTTTATCTGGGAATAAAAATCCCACCTGAACACCAATATAATAGATGGAAGCTTAATTGGGGTGTATAAATCCCAGCAGCTGTCAACCACTTGTAATAGAATGTGGCTTTAGGTAATTAAAACCCAAAATCAAAAAGCTGTAATGAAAGCTGGAACTTTCTTCTGGCCGGAAAACCTTTTGAAAGAAATCAAACTTAAAAGCAATGCTTACTTGAGGTATCTTTAGCTAGAATGTGCTGGATTCGCACTCAGGCCTGTGTACTGAGGTAACACTGAAAGGATTTCTTCTTTACAATATACGCTGCCACAATTTCACTCTTTTTTTTAAAAATTTTTTTTTAATTTTTTTATTATACACACGTGAGGCAGATGTTTTGAACAATAAAACAATGATGTTTATTTAAGAGAACTGGAACAAAATAGGCATCAAGCTTAGTTGGTTTGAAAGATTGTCTTAAAAGCGTGTGGTTTCTTTGAGCAGTTCAGACTTAGTTACAAATAAAACTCCTTTCTCCCTCCAGAGATTACTGACAGGATTGCTTCTCTGAAAGTAACTCTAAACTCCACACAGACAGCCCTTTACTCTTGGGATCTGTCACTCCACTCCCCAGCTATCTTCCCTAATAGCTGTAATCTTCCCACTAGCTATCTCTGCTAGCTAACTGACCACTTCAGGCCTCTCTCACTACTCTCTTCACCACTCCAAACTCCTAGATCCTTCTTTGACACCCAGGTTCAATCTCCCTGACAGGGTTTTAAAACGTCCCCTTAAAGTCATTTTTTCCTTTTCTAAGTTAAGCTCCACCCACTCTCTCCCAGCCAATCACTAACTCCTCTCATTTCCCTCCAAGTACCTAAGCTTGCCCCCTTCAGGAAATGAGATTTTAAAATGGATGCCCCTGGCACCCTTTCCAAAATGGCTGCCGAACTTCCTGGGCCTACATTTTTAGGCTTTTCCTAGCCTAACAGGTAGGGAATTCACTACAATATACATTTAAAACATTAAATCACATTAATTAATTAAAATCTGTTCCAATAACAGCCTGGTGGCCTTATCTGAGCCGAATTTTGTAGTTAGAGACTCCATCAAGCATGTCCATAGTCCATTTCCATAGCGATTGTCATCATTGTCACTGTCATTTTCAGCAAGATTACCCAAAGGCCTGGTCCCACATCCACGTTTTTAACTTCTTTCTAAAGGAAAGGAGGGACGTCGATAATCTAATTTCACTGGGGAGTGAATTTCACAAGCCGGAGGGCCACCACTGAGAAGGCCCTGTCCCTCATCCCCGCCAGGCGCGTTCATGACAGAAGTGAGGCCAAGAGCAGGGCCTCCCCAGAAGATCTTATACTCTGAGGTGGGACATTGAAGGAGATATGTTCGGACAGGTATGCTGGGCCAGAACCATATAGAACACCTTCCCAGTATTGACCGCCCATCCTTTCTCACCCTTTTCTGTTCTGGCCAGAGCTGCTAGGAGCTGCAGTTCACATCCAAGAGAATTCCAGTCTCTGGTGCGCTTTTTCCAATGTGCATTTGCTGTTAGTAAGGGGTACTGATAGTTGCATCTTGTGTGTCTGACTCAAAAAGCCTGACCTGGCCATGGTGGTCCATGCCTTAGTTACATCCAGAATGGACTACTGTAATTCACTCTACGTTGGGCTGCCTTTGAAGACTGTTCTGAAACTGCAGCTAGTGCAAAGGTCAGCTGCCAGATTACTAACTGGAGCTAGCTATAGGGAACATACCACACCCCTATTAAAGCAGCTCCACTGGCTTCTGACAAGTTTCCAGGCTCAATTCTGTGAGGGTTGGTAAATGTAAATAAGGGGAATAAGCAGAAGCTTTACCACAGTATTTAAACCAAGATATATCCTGCAATATAATAAAATGTCACTCAGGCTTGTAAAACAAGTTACAGTATCTTTACTTTAGTTCAAAAGTTCAAACATGGTAACAATATATACATCGGTCTCTTTGAATTCAGGCAGGGAACAGAGGAATAAAATAGTCTTTTTAAATAGTCTTTGAAATAAGCCTCATGCCTTAAAATGATCAGTCTTTAAGATAGTTGGCAGCCAGCACTATCTCTTCACTGTCCAAAGTGAGAAAAATGGCAGAATGACAGTTAGAACCGTTGGTCTCAGCAGCTAGCCAGAGGCAGCAGCCAATCAGCCTGGCTGCTGACACATCTCTCTCCAGTTAACCCACCATATTATGGCGTTCTTTTTCAAATCTTCACTGATTCAAAGTGCAGGTTATTACCTGTAAAGCCCTATATGCTTCAGGTCCACCCTATCTTCGAAACTGCTTCTCTTTCAATGAACTGGAGCAGGTTTTGAGATCTGTAGGGGAGGCCCTTCTCTCAGTCCCACCACTGTCTCAAGTGCAGTTGGTGGGGACGAGACTGGTGGTGGCTCCCTGGCTCTGGAATACCCTCCCAAGAGATATTAGTTTAGCCCCCACCCTTGAATCTTTCCAATCCAGCCTAAAAACATGGCTTTTTAAACAGGCCTTTGGCCTCAAGTAGGCTGTAATAGGCCCATATGGGGTTGACACTGGCACTTCAGTTTGTGAATTGATGGCAGCTAGATTTTATCTATGGGTGTTCTGCGTTTTTAAAATTTAGGAGTTATGTTCTATGTTATGTGTACTGGTAGTGGCTGTTGTTATAATTGTATGTGTTCCTGTTTTTATATTTATGTACCATTTTATGTTATATGCTACATCCTGGTGTGCCTTTGTAAGTTTCCCGAGTCCCTTTAGGGAGATGGTTGCAGATATAAAGTTTATTATTATTATTATAATCCTAGAAAGGGGCTGAGAGGAACCCACATTCGGGATGGGATTTATTTGGGATCAAGTTCTTGAATGAGAACTTGTCAGTGAAAATCTCTAATTGCAGCCTTTGGGAAGATGAAAGGGCTTGGGAGAGAAGGAGTAGCTTTAAGGATTAATCATTCCTGGAAGCAAGCATCTCTTGCTATTCCAGGGAAATAAGCTGTGTAACGTGAAGTTGGTTAGTAATCATAAAAGTCACACCTTGAGTCTTGAACATGACTGGATGATGGTAATTTCTTACTGGTGTGATGATACAAATTCAGAACTATACATAGAACACCAGTAAATACACCGTGGTTCTGTCAGTGGCCAGTGGACACAAGACACCAGTTTAATATTCATACCAGAAGGAATAGGCCTCGAGATGTGTTTTACATCCTGACAATTCATTAGCTGTTGGATCTCTTCCGGCAGTTAGTCCAAAAATGTAACTTTTCCACACTCCAAAGGAAAGCAATAAATATGCAAGTTGTTTTCCTGCTTGCACTTTATCTTTATTTCTTATCACATTTTATTATATATCATGTTTTAGTTACTTAGGAAGTGTGATTAAGACTTTTAGAATGGATAAAATCCTATATTTATTCACATTGTAAAAAAATGTCGCAGTTGGAATACTGGGCAACCCACCTGCGAGTAACAGAGGATCATATACAAACATGGTTTGTACACTTGTGTGTATTGTGAAATAAACTGATAATTATGAATTCCCTTGTGCACAGAAAGATTATCAGGATCTGCAAATAAATGTAACTTCATAATAATAATAATAATAATAATAATAATAGCAGCTTTATTTATATCTCGCTCCCTCTCCCTGCAGGGACCTGGAGCAGCTCACAATAATATAAAATCACAAAATAGATAATAAAATGAATAAATATTTCAAATTAAACACACAACCAACAGTAACCAATTATAAGGATACTCAAATCATAACTTCCTTCCGCAAGCAAAACCCGGGAGGGGTGGAGAGTTCTAAGCTTGCAAAGCGTTCACCTCCTCCCTTCCAATCTAGATTAAAGCCTTTGTCTGTTATTTTTTTTTAAATAAGCCCACACTGTTGCCAGTTGCATGAATACCATCACATCTAATTAGGAGCCGGTAGAACTCTTGGGATTGATCATTGGTTGAAATGTATAAAACCAAAGATGGACAAGAAGGAAAGAGAAAAGTTACCAAAGCGCATTTGCCCATGACAAGTTCCTTCCAAGATGCTCACATTTTTGTGAACTGGTAGAACTTACTTCCTCAGCATAGAAAAAAAAAATAACAACAGGGAATCTTTGAAGACAGAGCCACAAAAAGGGGCAGACATATTCCCTGTAAGGCAATGAAGGGAAAAATATAGTGGTTCGTAGAATCATAGAATCATTGACTTGGAAGAGACCTCATGGTCTATCCAGTCCAACCCCCTGCCAAGAAGCAGGAAAATTGCATTCAAAGCACCTCCGACAGATGGCCATTCAGCCTCTGTTTAAAAGCTTCCAAAGAAAGAGCCTCCACCACACTCCGGGGCAGAGAGTTCCACTGCTGAACAGCTCTCACAGACAGGAAGTTCTTTGTCATGTTCAGGTGGAATCTCCTTTCCGGTAGTTTGAAACCATTTTTCCACCTCCTAGTTTCCAGGGCAGCAGAAAACAAGCTTGCTCCTTCTTTGGATGACCTCTGTCTCTTTCTTCAGTCTCAGTTAAATAAGAAAAACAATTCTGCCTGATCCCATTTTGTGGGACAATTTGTTAATGGCCTTCTCTTGCCTCCCTCCTTCCTTTCTGGGGGTCTCTTCCAGGGACTCACACTTTGCAGTGGATGTACGGCTGTGAGCTGAGGAGAGACGGGAGCAAAGGAGGGCACATGCAGTATGCCTATGACGGGAAGGACTACCTCAGCCTGGACAAGGAGACCCTCACCTGGACGGCAGCCGATGTCCCAGCCCAGAACACCAAGAGGAAGTGGGAGAGGGAGACACATGTAGCCCAATTTCAGAAGGACTACCTGGAGGGAACCTGCATTGAGTGGCTGCAGAAATACCTGCACTACGGGAAGGAGACACTGCTGAGGACAGGTGAGTCCTGTGGGTGGATGAAGGAGGGAGGGATCCTGCCATGGAGGGCAAAGCATTCAGCCCCACTCCCCGCTTCCCCACTGACACATACCTTGGACTTTTTTTCATAACAAAACATGTTTATTCATTCAGTTGTGTCCGACTCTTCATGACCTCCTGTACCCAGGTCAGAGCCCCCTGTCGGCTGTGGCCACCCCCAGTTCCTTCAGAGTCAAGCCACTCTCTTCAAGGATACCATCCATCTTGCCCTTGGTCGACCTCTTCCTTTTTCCTTCCTTTTTCCCCAGCATCATTGTCTTCTCTAAGCTTTCCTTTCTTCTCATTATGTGGCCAAAGTACTTCATCTTTGCCTCTAATATCCTTCCCTCCAATGAGCAGTTTGATCTTCTTGCGGTCCAGGGCACTCTCAGAATTTTCCTCCAACACCACAGTTCAAAAGCATCTATCTTCCTTTGCTCAGCCTTCCTTATGGTCCAGCTCTCACATCTATAGGTTACTACAGGGAATACCATTGCTTTAACTATGCAGATCTTTGTTGCCAGTGTGATGTCTCTGCTCTTCACTCTTTTCTCGAGATTGGTCATTGTTCTCCTCCCAAGAAGAAAACATCTTCTAATTTCCTGGCTGCAGTCTGCATCTGCAGTCATCTTCACGCCTAGAAACAAAACATATATAACATACTATCCAGTTTCCAGGAAAAAAAAACTGTGGGACCTGAGTAATATAATGCTTAGACACCAGGGATTGAATCTCCACTCAATCTGGTCTTACACTGTAGAATTCATTGAGTGTGACACCACCCTAACTGCTTTGGCTCAGTGCTATGGGATCCTGGGGGACCTTGTAAAACAAAAACTCCCAGGATTCCAAAGCATTCAGCCATACAGTTACAAGCTGGGTAGATGCGGGTAATGCCGTGGATGTAGCATACCTGGATTTCAGTAAGGCCTTCGACAAGGTCCCTCATGACCTTCTGGCAAACAAGCTAGTGCAATGTGGGCTAGGCAAAACTACGGTTAGGTGGATCTGTAATTGGTTAAATGGACGAACCCAGAGGGTGCTCACCAATGCTTCCTCTTCATCATGGAAAGAAGTGACGAGCGGAGTGCCGCAGGGTTCCGTCCTGGGCCCGGTCCTGTTCAACATCTTTATTAATGACTTAGAGGGGTCCTCAAACTAAGGCCCGGGGACCGGATACGGCCCTCCAAGGTCATTTACCCGGCCCTCGCTCAGGGTCAACCTAAGTCTGAAACGACTTGAAAGCACACAACAACAACAACAACAACAACAATCCTATCTCATCAGCCAAAAGCAGGTCCACATTTCCCATTGAAATACTAATAAGATTATATTTGTTAAAATTGTTCTTCATTTTAATTATTGCATTATTTTAAAGTGGTTTTTTTTTTGCACTACAAATAAGATATGTGGAGTGTATAGGAATTCATTCATGTTTTTTGCAAATTATAATCCAGCCCTCCAACAGTTTGAGGGACTGTGACCTGGCCCCTCTTTATTAATGACTTAGATGAAGGGCTAGAAGGCATGATCATCAAGTTTGCAGACGACACCAAATTGGGAGGGATAGCCAATACTCCAGAGGACAGGAGCAGGATTCAAAACAATCTTGACAGATTAGAGAGATGATTGGCCAAAACTAACAAAATGAAGTTCAACAGGGACAAATGCAAGATACTCCACTTAGACAGAAAAAATGAAATGCAAAGATACAGTATGGGGGACGATGCCTGGCTCGAGAGCAGTACGTGTGAAAAAGATCTTGGAGTCCTCGTGGACAGGAAGTTAAACATGAGCCAACAATGTGATGTGGCGGCAAAAAAAGCCAATGGGATTTTGGCCTGCATCAATAGGAGCATAGTGTCTAGATCTAGGCACCACAATTGAAGAGAGATATTGACAAGCTGGAATGTGTCCAGAGGAGGGCAACTCAAATGATCAAGGTTCTGGAGAACAAGCCCTATGAGGAGCGGCTTAAGGAGCTGGGCATGTTTAGCCTGAAGAAGAGAAGGCTGAGAGGAGATATGATAGCCATGTATAAATATGTGAGAGGAAGCCACAGGGAGGAGGGAGCAAGCTTGTTTTCTGCTTCCTTAGAGACTAGGAACAATGGCTTCAAACTACAAGAGAGGAGATTCCATCTGAACATGAGGAAGAACTTCCTGACTGTGAGAGCCTTTCAGCAGTGGAACTCTCTGCCCCGGAGTGTGGTGGAGGCTCCTTCTTTGGAAGCTTTTAAACAGAGGCTGGATGGCCATCTGTCAGCGGTGATTTGAATGCAATTTCCTGCTTCTTGGCAGAATGGGGTTGGACTGGATGGCCCATGAGATCTCTTCCAACTCTATGATTCTAGTCATGGGTGGCCAATCCATCCATCTCTTTATTTATATCCTACCATTCTCCAAGACTGGGAGTCAGTGTATTTTACTAATGGCAAGCAATGTCAATAAAGTGCATATGGCTAAAACATAGAAAATTGAAGTTTAAAATAGTATTAAAGAACTAGAAAATTAAAATTAAAACATTTAAAACATTCATTTAGAAGATGAGAAACAGTATGCTTTCAGAAAAAGCCCTCTTTAGTTAAAAATTGCTTCCAAAAGCTTGCTGGCCCCACAAAAGACAACAGAGATGGAGCCATTTCAACTTCCCAAAGGAAGGAGCAGCTACAGGGAAAGTTTTGTCCTTCCTTCACACCATTTTTGTTTTCTGTTTTGCTAAAATTCCACTTGAAGCCCCTCAAAGGATGAAATAATTCCAAGGTCCCAAAGAATTGTAGTTCCATAGTCTTTGCTTTGGAGGTAGAACTTTCTGGAGGTCAGATTACATTTGTAACCATTAATTGGTTCTGATACAGTTCACAAAGAACACCAACAAGAAGTTTCTGAGAGGGACATTGTTCCACATTCTGCTGTTTCCTTCCAGAGCGCCCTGTGGGGAAGGTGAGCCTCAAGGAAGCCAGCGATGGCCTGGAGACCCTCATCTGCCAGGCCCACGGCTTCTACCCCAGAGAGATCGATGCCACCTGGACAAAAGGGGAGCAGAACATGGACCATGAGACCTTCCGTGGGAACATTGCTCGCAACTCCGATGGGACCTATCACACCTGGCTCAGCATCGACATTGACCCCAAGGAGAGGGACCTCTACCGGTGCCACCTGGATCATGCTAGCCTGCCAAAGCCTATGGTCCTGGCCTACGAAGAGCCTGGCGGTGAGAGATTGGGCGGGGGGAGGTGGAGCAAGGAATGGGCCTTCCAGGTGAATTTTGGTCAGTGGGAGGATTCTGAGAGATGAATGCTCTCCTGCAGTGACTAACATAGGCAAGACTTGAGGGACTCTGTGAACATGTTTAGGTGTGAAAAGGAGGAGATGCACCCCTCAGGATGGTGAGATGTTTGATGAACAAGGCAGAAGAACAATTCTTGAAAGTATGAGCTCATATTTGTCAGAAAGAATGCAGAAAAATACTGCAAAATTGCTACCTTTGGATGCATGGATATGATCTAAAATAATATATGTGCACACACATTGCACCTTCTTAAAACTAAATTGTATTTCTAAAGCCTTTAGTGCTGTTACTGAGGGGAAGGAAGTCTGAGGGGAAGGAAGATTGTAGGAAGTGGATTGCGTTGGGAGGTTCAGTCGCCATGTTTCTGCTTCAGAAATTTCATGTGGTGGCTTTGAAGTGCTTGTCTGAACAGAGGTATGTTTCTTATCTTTTAGTCAACATGGGACTTATTGTGGGCGTCGTCGTAGGAATCGTGGTTATTCTGGTGATAGCTACTGGGATCTACTTCATCCTCAGTAAGTGCACATGGATATTTTTCCTGGGCCTCATACTCTGGTACTTTCTTCTGGAGATTTTTACTGTTAGCATTGAATTTTTGCTGTTAGGTGATCTGAGTCCCTCTACAGAGGTAGTGAAGATTGGGATATAAAAGTTTTAAATAAATAAATAAATTGAAGGCAAAAATGACCCAATCTTCAGTGGGAACACCTCTTCCTTTGAAGGACATTTGAAACATGGACTCAGAAGTACCTCAAGGTCATTTAGCTGGTCTCCAAACCAGCCCTGTGTCCTTGGCATGCCATCTTTAATGCACCCACATTGAATAAGAAATCCTCAGCATCACTGCTAGTAGTCCTCAATCCATTATCCCCTCCCAACCAGTTTATTTTGGAAGCTCATTTATCTGAGGTAGAATTTCATCTGATAATTGACATGAAGTCTAGGTTCCCCAATCAACATTATTCAAGACTGGAATGCAGCTCAGTGTCATCACCACAATTGTCCAAATGTTCACCTTTGTCATTGGTGTAATTATATAGGATTAAGTCCCATTTTAACAATTTTACATCCAATCTTGTCCTGATTATTCTGTTTCTAAGGCCTTTTTCTTTCTGTTATGGCAACTCCTGGGTCAGAGGGCTCTGCTGAACCTGGCTGCACCCCTTCTTCTAGATTTGGAAGATCTCAAGCCTTCCTTCTGGGGTGGAGGTCCTGAGGCCTTCCATATATTGTTAAACTGCAGCTTCGAGCACTCCCCACCATAGGCTGTGCTGGCTATGGCTACAGGGAGCTATAGTCTAGCTGCATTTGGAAGGGTCTGGTAATAGTAAGAACTGAGTTCCTTGTATTTGGGGATCTCATTTTCGCTGCAGCTTGTCTGATGCCTTCCATTTCTGTCCATTGGTGGCTGCACCAGTAGAAATTGGGGAGGGAGCATATCTCATGGAGGCTTGCCCCATGCATCAGTTTTCTGAGAGGGAAATAGCTGACTCTTTCATAAGAAGGCTGTAATCACAGAGCATGGATTACAAGCTGGAGGAATGTATGGCCTTTTCTGTGAAGTCTCCACACCCCTGCAGAGTCTTCCCTGAGAAGTGACCATGGACTCCTCTTAGCTGGCTTTTACCAGACACATAAAAGGTTTATTTATTCTAGACTGCATTGGATTATAATTGTGGTGTTTTAAATTAAGGGCTCGGGTGCTGTTTTCTTTTTTATCTTAAATACTTGTGTTGGTTATTGTTTTATGGGCTTTATTGTCTGTTTTGATTCTTTCTGAGTAAATATGGGCAAAGTTGGGGGTCCAAACATCCTGCCAAGGTGGATAAGGAGGAACTGCATTATCTCTGGCTTGAAAACCCCCAACCTCTGATTTAACTATTTTGCTCTCTTTATACAGAAGAAGCAAGACTTATTTTATTTATTTATTCATACATTCATTTATTTATAGGATTTATAATCCGCCCTTCTTGCCTTGGAGGGGACTCAGGGCAGAGCACAGCATGCAAACAGCAAATATTCAACAAAGGAACTTATGAAGCAGCATCAAGTGAGTGATGACTCCCTTTCAAAAATAAGTTTTCAGTGAGATTTTGAACATTTTGTTTATAGGCAGATAAAAAGGAGCACAGCTGCTGATTTGTGTGGGAAGTTTAGTCACATGGAACATCTGGAAATTACAGAGTTCTAATGGTTGATTCTGTACAATTCCTTCCCAGCTAGGTTGGCAGAGGGGTGAAATGTGGGACCTTAAAGAAAATACTAAGCTAGTCAAATGAGGTATAGATCATATTCCATGACATGTTAGCAGTCTGACCAGTAAGAGTGGGGAAGGTGTGGTAACAGGGAACAACCAGTCTTTGGTTCAGTTTGTAGCTCAGCTTCTCCCAACTTGGTCCCATCCAAATATTGGAGGCTCCAGTTCCTCGGTTGGGGATTGTGGGAATTCTCCAAAACATTTGGAAGGAATCAGGTTGAATTTATTTATTTATTTACATTATTTATATTCTGTCCTTCTCACCCCGAAGGGGACTCAGGGCGGATCACAATACAGGGCGGATACACGACAAACATTCAATGCCGTTTTTGCCATACAAGACATACAGACTTGTCTTGTATGGCAGTTTTTCCTCTTTGGATCCTGGAGGTTGCTCGATTCGGACACAGGGGGAGCTGTCGTTTTGTCCACTATGACGCCGAGCTTTTTTGATCATAGTATTTCCTCCTTGCTTCTCCGGCATTTTTATGGTGTCATAAATTAGCCTCCCCACTTTAAGTGGTCCCTGATTTTTCTACTCACAGCTCACAGCTGTTTTCAAACTGCTTAGGTCGACAGTGAGCTGGGCAATTTTTTTAACAGCTATTTTTTTAAACAGCTGTAAAACAGTTGGGAGCTAAACCCCAACTTGGGCTTTGAACTTGCCACCTTTTGGTTGGCAATGATTTATTGTAGCTGATTACCCAGTTGTGCTACCAGCCCGGCCCTAAAAGAAGATGCCAGTTGAAGAAGATGCCATTAATTTTTTAGTCTTTCATGGCTAGCTATCATGACTAAGGATGTTACCGGTTGTTAGGAACTGTGGGAGCTGAAGTCCAAAACACCTGGAGGCTCAAAGGTTGGGAACCACTGCTGTAGACCATTACAGGGAGATATCCCTTTGCCTGGGAACTGGGGCAGCAGGGACTCCAGAAATGTCTGGATTGCCTCCTATCTGCTGGTTTGTGGGAGTAGCTGCAGCATTGAGGTAGAAGGCTCCTTCAACTCACAAGCTCAACAGCTTATTCTTCCATTTTCCTAAATGTAATTTCTGTGCTAAGAAAAAAACACAGGAGAAATAGTTGGAAAAGGCAGGAAGACCTCAACACGTGATCTCCTGCAAAATTCCAGCATTCAAGCAACAAAATCTCTTTACAAGTCTGGCCTTTTGCAGGCCTTCAGGCATTTCCTGTGACCCACATGGAAAGATGATGGCTGTCAAGTCCCCAGTCTCTGGGTGCTGGTCAACAGTTTTCATGTTCTGTGATTGACTTGATTTGGCTTGATGGGGAAAGGAGGATTGACTAGAGGAGAGTGAAGTAGAAAGGAGCTGGAGAGGTAGACATTCCCTACTCATTGTATAGTCTTTGATGCTGATTTTCTTCTAATTGCAGCAGGCGACAAGAGCTCTGACAGCTCCGTCCAGGGTAAGTGTGTGTATGTACAGGGCATCCATCTCAATTCCCATGGGAAGTGATTTCAGAGAGGATATTCCAG